AAACAAGGGGTATATACAGTGGCGGGGACTGCACAGCCCTTCGCATCAGCCTAGCTCAGCTGCTCTTGGCTTCCAAGGTGGACAAAAACAGGCTCTGAGAATTGTACCTAGAGTATTTTACTGCATCTGTACCACTGCCGTGACTTACAGCTTGGGCAGACAAATTACTTATTTTCAAGGCTGAACATAATTCTGCTGACATTCATTAAATTAATTGCATAAGCCTATTATTTAAATATAAAATATATTCATTAAAGATGGTAAAATCTGTGACGTTCTATTAATAGTTAACAGATAACACAGATTGTCTAATTGCAGGAGGCAGGTCCAACTTTCCAACATCAAGAGGTGGCTTAAGCTTTGCTTGTATTTCGGATCTATTTCTTCATTACATTATGCTGGATTAATCTGCTACTGTATTTGGCTAGAAGGACTAAAAACTTGGACTCACTCATAGGGCTTCCCTGTTACTTTAACTTTGTGCCTTATCTTACTGAAACTCTAGATTTTTACCACGTCTTGTTATATTTAGTGTTGCTAGAGCCTATGCTGTCAAAACTGGATGATATGGGAACTTTAGGTTGGAATTTTTTTCTTATCCTCACGCTTACAGAGAAAACGCCACAAAAATGCTCTGAAAGGCTCAAACGCTAAAAGCCAGTTATAAAGAACACAGACTGTATTGTTTTTCGTCTCATGATCTTTGAGCCAAACACAGGATTGTTTTTAACAATGTAAGTTTGTTATATTGACAATAATGAGAAAATGCTTATAGTAGAACCTAAGTAGCAGACTCTGAAAAACTACATTTAAACCCTTCATTGAAAGTTTTTATTTGATAGAATGATGTAATAGTTTCTCACAAGTGCAAAAATGCTACTCACAAGAAAATCAAGCTCTTTTAGAATCTGCACACTTAGAAATTCTTCTCCTCTGGATTCCATTATATTTGAATCATCTTACTTTGCCAATTGCTACATAATTTGGATTACAACATTTCTGAAGTTATGTAAAGGGCAATAATCCTCATGAAAATAATCCCTATGCCAATTTGCTCCCATTGCTGTCCATAAGAGGTAATTCAGAAAGGGAAGATATTCTGAGACAAAACATATATATTTTTAAGCTATTACTTTTTCCATTAATTTTAATATAACATATACTTGTCTTTCTAAAATAAACAATTTTTTTCAAGGAATTAAGTGCTCAATAATAATCGCTGTTTTTTTCCTTCTCTCTAGTGTTCATAATGGCTTCCGGGCTTTTGGTTTATCCTTTTGGTTTCAACTCTGCTACTGTGAAGAGATTCTGTGAGAATTCAGACATCTACTATGCAGGAGACTGCCAGATCGGATGGGGGTATATGCTGGCAATTGTTGGGGTCATGTTGTCTGTCTTTTTACCATTCTTTGCAAAATATGCACCAAAAGAGCACATATCTCCAACTCCAATACCTACTATTTTATAGTGTTTTATTATTGTTTAAGAACAGACCATCCCTGTCTACAGGCAATGGGCAGAAATTATTATAGCACTTCCATTTAGCTGTATTGCTAAAGAAAACAAGGAGATGGGGAGAGAAGGTCAGACACACAAAGACCAAAAGTGCATTGATAGTCTTCCGTAAGTATGACTAGTGAACACTCTGGAATTGAACTAAGATTAATCAGCAGCCTTTATACTGCTCTAAACATATACTGGCATAATGCCTTAGACAAAAAATAAATCTGTTTATCCTCAAAACATCTGTCTACCTCCCAAACAGTTTCTTTTGTGTCTCAAAACCGTAAGTCTTTTAAAAGCTTTGATTCACTTTTTATATATTATTAAATGTCAAAACTTTTATTAACCCAATAATTTTAAAATCAATAATGATATTTTGTTATTATTTTGATTAGTGAAAAAAAGCCTGCTACTAGCCATGACCTAAAATTAAGCTTGAAATCTAAAAAGAATTGTATACAAGCAAAATGTTTCTTTTTAATCTATATGTTTTAGTAGTACCTGCACGCTGTAAGTTGTAGGCACGCTTTTTACTATTGAGCTGATATTCAAGATATAAAGTCATCTTCATGGAGACTTGCACATGTTTTAGATAACTTTTTGTCAGAGAGAGATCTGACCACTTGCAAAGGCTCAATGATGATCTGTTTAACAATAGGAAAAAAAAGGGATAAGAATGTTGTATATATTTCTCTAGATGATAATTTTATGTGGAATTTTACAAAATCATGTGAACCATGACAGCTGTAGGTTTTGTTTTTTGTTGGCTGTTTTTTAAGGCTGGAAAAGCAAATACTTTGTTTAAAAACGTAAGTGCCCATAGGCCTTTTATGGAATGACAAAACAAGTCAGAACGGACTGGATTCTGATATTTCCATTCCTGTTGAATAGCCCATTATCCTAACTATATCCTAATTATTGTGAAGTGAAATGCTGCTTAACATGGATAAGGTTCTGGTGTCCTGTCAGAACTAGAAAATGGCCCCTATTTCACGGGTATTTGTAAATGAAATCCGTGAACTCTAATTTCTACAATAGCATTTGGATTCACTGCTATCTAGGATTGAAGTAAGTGCACTTTTGATTGCCTTATGCAAAAGAAACATTGGGTTCTAATCTCACTCGACTCTTATGTTTTTCATTTAAAATAAAAATTGAATTCTAATCCTATTCTCATTTTACTACATAATCTTTTATTTTCTATTATTTATTAATAAATAAACAGCATAGTTTATATTTAATTCAGAGCTGTACCTCTCAGTTTTGTATTTTGGCACAAACCAAGTGATCAAATTTATTATTCTTCACTTAGCTGGGCCCAACTAATTTGTGATTTTTTTTTAATTAAAAGTGTACATGAAGGGACAGATAAAGAAATGTCGAAAAATGCGAAGACAGAACAGATCATTTTATTTTAATACATGTCAAAGAGTTATACAGTCTTATTTACATTCCTCCACCTTCTGAACATTAATGGAACGTTATTATTTTCCAAAATAATTGCCTGCTGTTGCATTTTCATGCACTCTAAAAGCAAATTCTGCACAGAAACTTATGAAGTTCCATTATTAATCTTCTAAAATACAGATTTCAGAGAAGATATAAGTACACTGAGAGAGAGCGCTATGTGTTTTTGCCCACAATGACTAAGGAATTAAATCTTCCAAATATTTAACAAAGTAGGTTGAAGGAACGTCTCTAAAGTAAAAAGAATAAATTCCAGTCATTTCTGTATAGCAATGTACTTTTTAGTAATGTCTTACTTTTTTTTTAATGAATGGCTGAAATTGATAATTTTCATATAAAAGTCAGAAAAGTGAGGAAAAAATGAACAAAAAACAGGTAAAAAGAAAATCATAACTGCAATGTAGAGCGAGAAAGAGATGCAGGCTTTTCTTTCCTAACCGACCTGTGCCTTTACACTAGAACCATTATACAAGACAGGATAAATATGGTAAAAAAAAAAAAATCATCAACTGAAAAATGTTGAATAATGTATAAAAACTGTATTATGTAGAGTTTTTTCTGTTTTGTGTAATGTTTACGATTGTTCACTTAATGTTTCACTAGAAAAAGTGATTTGTTAGTGTAATATAGAAAATAGTTTTTGCAAAGATCCAAATGCTTACTGAGAGTAAAATTATGTTAGATTTTTATTAATATCCAAAACATACAGAGTAGACACAAATGGCCCATTCCTATCATTGCTTATTAATATAACTTTCATATGTGTAGAACTGGAACCATCATTCATTCAATAGAAATCGTGGGACTACAACACTTGTGTGCTGCTGATTACATGCACATGTGCTTGCAGGCCTGGTCCCACACTTTGTAAGCTTCCTTTGTAATTTTAACTTCACTGTTACAATGGAGTCTGACACATTACAACACTGCTTTCTGCTTTGAACGATTTCAAGCTCTACTTCCTGTAACCTTCTTCACCTTTTATGAGTTAAACTAATGCCTCCATTTGTAGCTTTCTTTAATATGTTATACTATTTAAAGGAAATTGAGGATATGTATATGACCTTTGCAATTGGATAGATGAAACTGTCATGTAAACGTCCATGTTCAGAACCAGTTTAGCACAGAATTTAGAGTTGATAATATAAATGATTCTAACAACAGTTAGTAAAGCATATCCTTTAGATCCTCATTTGGAACTTAAAGTGGGATGTTGTTAACAATACATTTTCTAACACTGACAGATCACTTTTTTTAATAAAGACTGTCTGGAAGTGAAATTGTGTAAAAGCGTTTTCTTGTTAAAAGTCGAACAAATTACTGGATCAGGTTCAAGTTTTATTCTAAATATATAATTTTTTAAGTGTAACTAAAGCTGTATTTTCCATTAATGTGTTTCTGCGTTGATTAGCTGACTCCTTTTTAGAATACTAACCGTTTTCTGTATTTGACTTGTTGGATACAATATTTCAATTATTTTAAATGTGAAATTTCCAATTGCCAACAATGTATAATAAAAAAGTTACACTGTTCACAATTTTCTTGACTTTTTTTGGTTTACAATTCCCATCAGATTTAGTAACAAGCTTCTGAAGTAGGGGAACAGGATAAGGGGAAAAGGAAATATAAACAGCAGGAAAGAATAATCTCTAAGAGTTAATGTTTGAAGGCAAAGACACATAAACAAGAACCTGGTCCATCCATCATGAAAGACAGTCCCATGGCAAAAGCAAGGAAGTTCTGTGTTCAAGTCATCTCTCCCCAAATTCCTTTGAGCCCTTGAGCAATTTCCCTATGGTTTGTGATGCATATACCTGCATACATAAGGTAACAGACAGAAGTGCTATGAATGGGATACTCCTTGCAATTGTCACAGTGAAAAAGGACCATAAGGGCCTTTTTTTTTTTTTTTTAAAAAAATTGACTAAAAAAACCCGTTTCATTACAAAGGATAGGACTTGGCTCCACTTAGTTCAACAGAAAGAGTTTGTATAAATAATGTATTTATAATCAAGTTCAACATTTTTTATTCAGAATTTCTTCAATAAGCTCTATTCAAGTAGGCAACTAAAATTTGTTATTGCATAGGTAACTAGCAAAGATAAACTACAAAATGTAGCATATGGAAACATCAAAACATTGTTATCAACATTTGTTGGATAATACAGCCTAGTGAATTTTCAATTATTTAATAAGATTTTCAGTATTAGTTTTGATAAATGCTTTAGGATGTGCAGCCTTCACGAGTAGTGATGAATGAAAATAAGCGTTGGCCAACCATTTCAATCGTTTTAAATTTCATTCATTGTTTTTACATATGCTGTCATCTCAACATCTGCGATTTTAACAAATTCTTGGAAAGCATTTTGTTCGGGAATAGTTGCTGGTCTTACAGAGACACACTTGAAAATGTTCCTTTTTGTGTCATAGTTTCCCATGCACCTGTGCACTCGACCTCTAATCAGTCTTGGAAGCTCCCGGTCCTTCATAAAGAGCATAATAAACAAAACAAAAACAAAAAAAATCACCTTTCTGATATGAACAAAGCTTTCAAAATGTCTGGGGAATAAATGCTGTTAGTTATTAGTGGATTTCTGAAGACTGTATCAAATGTAGAAGGCATTTACTTCCATATCAGCTTCTTTGCCATTATCAACTACTTAGGAGCTGAACTGAAATTACCATCTACATCTTCAGTATTTTTGGTAAAACAGAAGTCTAAGGCCACTTAAATAGTGGCTGGATTACTACTCTAGACCACTTTGGCAGCAATATAGTATATAAGTTTCCAACTTTCCTTTTATACATTAACTTTCTGTTTTATTAGAACATGCATTATTAACTTCATAAAAGGGACTGTAGATAGCAGTGTCTGCATTATGTATGGATATGGAAATGCTTACAATTTCATAAAATACACATGGCAGACTCTCCTTTCCATCTCTCAAAAGAAAATTCTTTGCCCCGTATGCTCCGGGTGTGACTGCAGAATCGAGTGTGCCTATGCCATTTAGCAAAAATAAATGAGGATGTAAATATCAGTGCAGTACTAAATACGATATACAAAGATATTGTGACAACATCTACTACACAAAAGCACTAACATATATATTAGCATCAGCTTTCTACCACAACGCATGTGGGCGGTACTGCAAGTTCCAATGCAAATTAGAGGCTTTACATAGTGAGTGACCAAATGTGTTTTTTGTCATCATCACTGGAAACAGGTAATTCCCTTGTTAACCAGAGCAAAACAAAATTCTCTTAAAGCTTTATTCATCCTCACATGCAAATGAACATTATAAATATTTGCAGTCTTGTCAATATGGGAGTTTCCTGCAATCCCGCTATAACATAAATTCTTATTCATCTTGATTTAAAGACTTCAGTCATTTCTGTCATCTCTTGTTAGGTTCATTTCTCAGGCAATGTCAATTAAAATGCAAAGCGAAGCCACTAAAAGTCATCTCCATTTAGAAGCACTCCCAAGTTTGGACTGATTCCCAGATTAATTCTATTAAAAATTACTGTAAAACAGTACGTCCCTACAGAAGGTCTCTGTTTAGTAGGAAAATTTACTGTAATACATACCAAAAAAAGGAAAAGAAAAAAACAGGAGAGAAAGAGCTTAAATGTTGGAGGGTGACAATATTATTAATTTTATTCCTATTTTGGTCACCTTTAATAGCTGAATGTATCTCCCAGCACAAAAATTAAATGGCACTCATGCCAGTATTTTGGTTTTCTAAATATTTCAGCTTGTTCCTACACTTAATAACACATTTTCTCTTAGTGGCTGTCCCACCATTATTATCAGTTATAGCACAATCTACCATGCTTACCCAAAACTTCAAATAATAGTACAGTTTTATAAGCATACTGACTCCAGTGCTTCATACTTTCAATGACTGCAGATATGATTCGCAAAGAATTCTGTTTTTCTTTAAGTTTTAATTGAAATGATGAAATTTCCTTTCAAAGAAAGATGAAAACTCCCATTAGAAACACTCACAGACTTTTGAAAGGTAGACAGACATTTACATATTATGTTAAATATGCAATATTTACATTAACACTAGAGTATTTTTTCAGACTAGAAAAATAAATCCCTATCAATTTATTTGACCATGCTGGGGATTTTAGGTTATTATAACGTGAAAATCTCAAATTCAAATTTTCAGAAACTTAAGGGTTTACTAAGACAGCTAGGACTGATGAAAGCCTCATCTTTCCTTAATTTTCTTTTTTTTCTCCACCGTTTTCCTCACTGTATCTTCCTGTTAACTCTCTCCATAAGTTTACCTGCGTTTTGTCTTCTTGAACACAATTAAATTGTTTTTCATTCATTTTATTTTGCTGAATATTGTGGTTAAACTTATATGACAGACTGTGATCTTGCAGACTTCTTGATACAGTATTAGGTTTCACTGGCCATTGTGCTTTAGATGAGTATGTTTGGCTGATTTCTGCTGTTTTGATATGCTGAGAAGAATTATGGTTACCAGGGTTTTTTTGCTGCTGAACAGTTTTCAAACTACTTGAAATGTTCTCAAACTTTCGATTAATTCCACTATCAGATATTAAATCTGTCCTGTTACTTAAAGAAGTACACACATTTCTGTTCCAAACTTTAGTACTGGTAGTCTTCTCTTCTGCCCTGCAGTGTAACATAATATATAATTCAATATTACAATACCCATTCTGAATATTCAGATAAGTAATTAAAGTATATAAATGCATTCTACGTGTCATTCTTTTAGATTTTAAAAATATCTAGCGTATGTTTAGGCTCCAGTAAACTCCACTCCAACAGACTCCACTGGAGTGTGCACTTAAATTTTGTCCGTATACAGAGCTGTAATGACATGTGTGTTTAAATCTGCTGAATTCATTAGGACTTTAAAACTTTTTAAATTACTGTCTGGCATAAGGGCTCTTTCCTGACCTAAGATTTACATGCTTTTCTTAATTTTAAAATAAAATAAGCAAAATTTCTTCTGAGAGTATTTCTGAATTATCCTTCCACCACCATTACTGAAGAAACCATTTAAAACAAACTCTAGTGCTGGAGTTTATGTTTTCCAAAGCCTACATTTTAAAAGGAGGCCCAGACATTGCTTCCATCTCCATTCCATTTCGCCTTAGAAGGCACTTCTTTGAAAGATACTTATTCACACTCTCTTCTTGCCATTTGAAAAGAACCGGCGGAAGGGAAGAGAGAAAAGGATGATTATAACATTGCTGGAAGATTTTTCTACCAGCTCTGGGCATCTGAGTCTGTAAGCTTTTGCTTGGTTTGCAAGACCATGGAATTCACAATTAAATTCAGCTTTGATTGAATGTTCTGATACATAATTGCCCCACTGTACACTGACAGAAATTGTTTTGAACTTGTTGATAAGTGATTCCTGGAATTCTACTTCCGAGTTTCTCTCCTGGCTCTCTGTTGATCCTCTTCCTTTCTAAAGCATTTATTTGTAACGGTTCTGATTCAGCAAAGAAGCTTATGTTTGTGCTCAAGTGTTTTGCTGATATGAAATCCTCACAATGAAAAAACAAATTTGGGTTGAAAGTGGGCAAAACTTCACTGCAAAGCAAAGTGGAGTCTCAAAAACTGATGATTTTTTGTACTATGAAAATTAGAATTAGTAAAGCAGCTTATCTAGTTAACCTCAGACATGCCTGATATTTAAGCCATAACTCAGGAACATTTAAGAACAGGCAAATTCTATCCACTTTTATTGTAAGATTGAATTTTAGGTCTGATAATAAGGCGAGATACTAGGTCCAATTAATAGGCCCTCAATAGCTACACTGGAAAGATACTCACTGATTTCACCAGGTTTTGGCTCATAAGCAGAATTTAATTGTTTAGGAGTACAGTGATGATCTGAGAATTAAAAGGGTCTTTCTGAATGCAACTAGAATATAGAATGATACAGGATATATTTTCATATGAGAATAAGAACAATTTTGGTTAAGGATAATACAATTTACAGACTATACCAACCTGAAGGCATACAAGTTTTTTCCAGCATTTGCTGAATTAGACTTTGATGCATTTTGTGGTTCCATAAGCGAAGGAGCCATTTGATGTTCTGTTTGGCTTTCAAAGATAAATTTAAAGTATCAGAGATATAGTAGCAGCTTTATTGTAAGACAGACATGTGAACTGTAGTTTATGAAACAAATAATAACCAAATAAAAATGAAAAAAAACAAAATAATCTGCTTTTACATACCCATTGTTTGCTGCTTTCTGCAGTTCAGTCACTTCTGCGTTTGCAGTTCCCCAGCCTAATTCTCAAAAGACAAAGGATTGCATATGGATACAAACTGAAAAGATTGAAAGGTGTAAGTATCCTTAGGGCTCCTATCATTTATTTGCTTAATGTTCCACAAATAGTCTAACATTAAAAAAAAAAAAAGGAGAAGACTGATCTTCTGATATCTGTAATTACAGGCCTTTTCTAGATAATGCTTAAGTTACAAACATTAGGCATTTCTTGTTAGCAGAGAGACATTTTTGCTGTAAGCGAACCATAATAAACAATGAAAATAATAGAGATAGAATCCTATTTCATTCTTTCAAAGCATGATTTAGGGAACAAGTTCTCTTCTGGATTACAAAGACATCTTATAAATGTTTCCTCTTGTAACACGGGCCTTGAATTTTGATTGAAATCAACTGAAAACAAAAGGTCAGAGTTCCAAGAGACTCCATTTAAATGCCAGCATGCTACCGCATTCTCTAACATACAAAGAGTCAACCTCCCTCTAGGCACAAAGTAAGAAAGCTCAATTGTATAAAGCAGAAAGAAACTTCCTGGAGGACATTTTATACATAATGAACTTTTCAGCAATAACCATAAAGGAGGCATATAGTTCTTGATAAGGCTGATGTCTAATTTAATAAAATACGTCATAAAGTTAACATTTAAATGGATGTAGAACCATTAAAAAATATACATAGCTTATTTACCCAATGATGTGGGAGAAAAGTCATAAGCTCGTGTCCCAGAACTAGTACAAGGCTCGTTTTTAAGAGGATTTGAAGTGAGAGGCTGTCTACTTCTTTTTTTCTGATTGAACAGAGGTACTGGCAGACAACCTAAAATTAAAATTCACATAATAATACCATATCAGCAGCAAAAGGACACACAACCTATACTTAAATACGTAAATACGTTACCTAACAATTCTATTATTTCACATTACCCAGAGGAATGATATTCCATAAAAAAGTAAGATAGACTGGCTATTGTCCTACAGAATTTATATTCCCAGACCTCTGTCCTGCAAAATTTTCCCTCAGTTAAACTTTTCACTTGGTGACCAGTCCCCTGAATCCATTCAAAATTTTGTCCTGTGCTGTCATAAAACAGACAATCCATTTAAGTCCACTCTGAATATTTTTTATACATAAATATATATATATATGTATGTATAAAAGCATAAAGAGGTGTAAACTGTAAGGTACACAAGAATGAATGGTACCTGCTGTGCTACGAGCTGAAGCGTCAGTTAAACTCCTTTTCATTTCTTTGTGAATCCTAATAAACAAGAACGTATGAAAGTTATATCAGTAGAGAAAGCAAACCAATTCATGCGCTAAAGATATCGAATTCATATGCAATGTTGTAGCAATCTGTCTTAATTCGTTGTATACCCCATTGCATGCATCAATTTAGACATGTTTCTAAACTGTGGGAGTAGTTGTACTGGATTTAGGACGCATTTACAGGCAGTCAAGTAACACGCAGATTGGTCTTTGTAGAGTGAGGGCCCCAATGATTACATTCTTGAAGTAGAAGTCATATTCTCTACCTTTTCTAAAAAGATAAATGCTGTAAAAATACTGAATCCACTTCTGAATTTAAACAGATACGTACACTCAAATACAAGAAATGTTTTGGAATTCCTGAAAATACAGTATGAATAGAAAATGAAAACTTCACTTAAACATTGCTGCAAACTGTGATGTCAAGGTACATGGCTCTGAATTTTAAACTGATGGTTTAACTATTCCATGAAAAATAGCATCACACTTCAAAAATTAAATTATGTTTCTTGATGTTATGGTGCAGACCTAAAACTGTTAACGAATTCACTCACATAAAAGATATTTTACATGTCAGAAACCATTATTATCAAATATTCTTAACGCCTATGAAGAGAAAAAATATGTATTAGCATGTCAGATACAGATAGCTTGCCGTATTTGCTTTCTGATTAACCTGCTTCTAAAGTAAATGTCCATATATTATTGTATAAGCTTTTGAGCACTGTGTAGTATCAGTTGCTATTCTATCGCAGTTAGTTGTCTATACTTGCTTTTAACGGCATGTGAACACCACCACATACTTTGGTATAGAAATAATATAAAACATTGCCTCTACGTTTATTTTGTTGAGTCAGTAGTTAACTGCATGCAGCTGTTAAACATGTTGATCAGAATTAAGCCCAAGTACCTACGATAGCTAGAGCAAAAGAGCTCATCAGTTTGCCCTTTCTTTCTGTGATATACATAAATTACAAGCTTGACAACATTAGAGCAGCTTCTGGATCATTGGTGCGATATAATTTACATTTAAACTGCTTTGGTGGCACAATAAAGCTTAATAGCCATCAGTAAGTAATATACATGTAAAATAAAGCTGCATAACCCTGACGATTCAGTTTACAAAGCCAACTTTGGTGCTGTATAGGATTTCAGATTGACTTATTTTGCTTATTGCCTTTTCCTGAAGCTGAGTAATCAGAAAACAACAGAGCTCAGAGCTAAAGGTTGAGAGAAAAGCGAAGTCGAAGATGGGGAACGGCAGCTGTCAGGGTAACCCTCCTCAGCCCTCGGACAGTAGCAGTACTCAGGCGCAGGCTAACGGAAACGCTCTGGAACCCCAAAAGATACGCCTGAGGCGAAGCCCGCCAAAAACTAACGGAAAAAAACGGTCGCTCGCCGCTCTCCCTCCCGCGCGAGGCGGGAAAGG